CTCCGCCTCCCAGGTTCAAGTGATTCTCCTGCCTCAGCCTCCCGAGTAGCTGGGATTACAGGAGCCTGCCACCACGCCCAGCTAATTTTTTGTATTTTTAGTAGAGATGGGTTTCACTATGTTGGTCAGGCTAGTCTGAAACTCCTGACCTCAGACGATCCACCCACCTCGGCCTCCCAAAGTGCTGGGATTACAAACCCGGCCACTTATTTATTTCTCTCTTTTTTTTTCCATTTCTTTTTTTTCTTTTTTTATGTTTTAACAGTGCTTATATGAGAAAGACTTATTTATTTCTTTATAGAGATGGGGTCTCACTGTATTGGCCAGGCTGGTCTCGAACTCGTGGGCTCAAACAATCCTGCTTCAGCCTCCCAAAATACTGGAATTACAGGTGTGACCTACCATGCCTGGCCAAGCTGTGAAATTTATAATCTAATTGATCATTCTTCAAAGAATGTGAAAGTGAGTTTTACATCCAAATTATTAGTCAATACTGTTTCCGGAAGGCCCACTGTAAAGGCTAAGGAAAATGAGGTTTTTATCTAGTAACTTTATTAGATCGATTATAAATTAAAACACAAATAATGAAGTGTTCAATTCCATGCTTAAGTTCCCCAGCCTGGATGTAGTTCCCCCACTACGAGGTGACCAAGTGATGCCCTCCGTGAGGGCAGACGTTGATTGAGTCTGTTTTCTTCTCATGGTTTCTCTCACTGGGAACATGGTCCCTGGCACGTGGCCTCATGGATGTTTGTCGAATGAATGAATGAGGTGCTGGGTAGTGGCTGCAGGCCTGCCCATGCCAATCCCACCCTGGTCAGCAAGCCCTTTGCATGGCAAGCGGAAGCAGGCAGGAAAGCATGTTTGCAGTTCTAGGGAGGAGACCCAGGCCAGGCAGCACTGGAGGCCAAGCCCGAGGGTCTGTCTTCCTTGGCGGCTGGCGAGGGTATGAGGCAGAGGTCCTCGGGACCGGCAGGAGCCCTGCAATGCTCAGCATTTCCCCAGAGGGCAGCGGCCTGGGAAGAGGTAGAGATGGGACAAGGGAGGAGCGGGGCCCTGGTGAGGCCTTGCCTCCTCCTCCCCTCCCAGGGACCTGAGCCTCTGGGGTCAGTCGCCCAGCAGTCACCTACAGGTGGCAGAAGCTGCTATCCCTCCCGAGGGCTGAGCGCCACCCCCCATGGGGTTGGAGGGGTGACCGTGGGAGGCCTTTGGGCAGGCGGCTGGGCCACTGCGCCCCCCTCACCTCCGTAGCCATTCCCCATCTAGCTGGTGCTGCCTCTCTTCACCCCAGAGCCCCCTACAGCACAGACAGATGACCAGGGGCACTTGGGTCACCAGAGAGGTTCCATCCACCCCAGCTTCCACCCAGGCTCTGGGAGACCCCACACCCTGAAGGGCCCAGGGCTCAGCTTCCCAGGGGACCCTGGGGAGAGGGATGGAGTATGGGGAACTGGTTCCCCAATGGCCCGCATTCCCAGCTTTATCACCTCCACATTTCGGTCCAGGGTCCAGGCTGGCACTCAGGGTCCCAGGCTCTGGGCCTCTCCTCCAGCCCCATTCCTTCCTGCTCTTCCCTGCCTGTGCCCTCCTGGCCTCTTCCCATTCATTCCATCCCCTCCATCTCTGCGGGGCTGTGGGTGAACCAGGGCCCAGGGCCTAGTTGCCTGAAGCCATCTCTGATGGCCCCAGCACATTCACCTGGCTGGTTCCCGGCCTCAGCATACTCGCCTCCAGCCTGATATCCAGGCTTCAAGCCAGTCCCCAGGTCTGGAGGGTGGGCCAGGAAGAGCCCCACAGCAGCCTAGCCTGTCCTGTAGGAGGAGAGCTGGCATGGGCACCCTTGCCCACCAGAGCTAGGTCCCCCTAGCCCCTGTTGGGCTTGGCTCTGCTCCCTGAAGGCCCATTTCTTTTTTCTTTTTCTTTCTTTTTTTTTTTTTTTTT